GAGTTTAACACTAATGAACCACAATATGTATGAAATAAGATGCCATTAGCATTAAATAAGGTTGTGTATTATTGATCAGTTGATAAAAGGACACACATACACACACACATATACACACCTGTATGACAATGCATTGTAATTTCTCCTTGCAAATGTGTCTTCTCTTCAGGCTACAAGACTTTTTTAGTAGAGCCTTATGTTAGTCATTCTTCAGTCTCCTTTCTTGCTTCATACCTTGTCCTGTACCTGCTCAGCAGTTTATGAGTGAACACAGAATGATGATCTTCTAAAGCTGCTTGAACCACACAGGAAATCACCAGACTATTGGATAAACCTGAAACCGCATGGGGATGTTTCCTGATTTTCTTTGGGTGATTAGTTTTGGAGATGTCATGATAAAGTCACTTGGAGTAGTAAATGTCAGATCTTACTTTTACGTGTTCTCCCTGTTTACTACCATATACATATTCATAACATGAGAAAGCCTTGGATTCCTTGACTGGGGGAAAGTTAACACTGCCAATGTATGTAAGAAAGACTGAATGGCCTTTGTGAAGGGCAAGGCCCATCTTATAAAGTAAGGAGTTTCCTCAGAAAATTATAGAACACATTCAGAAATGTATAGGACACTGACAGCCAGTTTCTAAAACCCATTGAGGCTAGTATGAAATGCTGTTCTTGACCCTTTTCCTAAACTCAATCCTGATGACCTTAGAGATACTTAATGCTTTTACTATCAGCTTCAGAGGTCATCTGCCACCGCTGGCTTCTTTTGTTGGCCAACAGTGAGCTTGAGCTCTGTAAATATCCGCTGAGCATCCTGCCAGCATTAAGCCTGGTATTTGTTCCAAAATTTGGCTTATTTCACTCCTTTTTCACTCAAGGCAACTCTTTACTTGTCCTGGTACATCTCTTTCATGTTACTCCTTCCTCATATTTCCTCCAAATCACAGCTCTGCTACCATTTCTGGCTCTTCTTCTCCCATTACCCTCCCCCCAACCCCCACCAACTGCTCTCTGAAATCCACTACAGCATCTTGTGTATTAAATGAATGAACAGACAAAGGGGCTCAGTCAATGATTCAGTCAATGATTCATGAAACATTTCTTCTTCTATGGCTTTAGGGCCTAAAGAGATGAGCCAGAAAGTACTAAAAGTAATGAAGGAGAAAGACTGATGGATGGATGCCGGTCAGCAAGCAAAAGCATCAGGCTTCACAGACCAAGAGCTTCTGCAGAGGTGGGGGATCACCTGTGAGGTCAGTTGCAAATGGAAAGTGAACACCTGCTTTCGTACAGTGCCAGTGGAAGTGTGAATGTTGGAATCCCTGTATAACGCAGCAGCAGCTGCTGAAATGTTTCAAGTTTTATAAGTATTTGGCTCCAAAATGTAAAATCTCATTGGGACATCACATTATATTTAGCATTTTCTGTAATTTGATCTAGTTAGCTTGGAGTATTATAACAAATAACATAGAATGAGTGACTTAAACAACAGAAATTATTTCTCAGTATTCTGGAAGTTAGAAATCCTTGGCAAGAATTTCAAGGTCAGAGCGCCAACATGGTTGGGCATGTGAGGAGGGCAATTTTTGGCATATGAACAGTCTCCATCTTGCTCCTTCATGTGGTGATGATATTATTACCTTCTTAGGGCAACAGTTCTATCTTGAGGGATCCACCTCAATGATGCTATTCAACCTATTCATCCACTCAGACCTTACTGCCAAATACCATCACATTGAAAAATTATAGCTTTAACTGATGGATTTTGGGTAGGTACAAGCAGTCGGCCCATAGACTGGCTACTTATGGTAAATACTGACAATAATTTAATCTCCTGCTTCTTGATCATTACCATATATTCCTATGTTGTTGCTAGCCCACTGAGGGGCGGGTTGACTGCTACGTTCACCTGAACCTAGGAGACTCGGAGCCGCAAGAAGGTGAAACAGGAGTCTGGAGTCTGTTTATTAGGACCACCTATGGGTATATATACGGTCTGATATGCCTTGTACGTGCGGGAAAAACAGGATGTGTACCCTACATGGGCCTGCTGGCTTCTTGCAGTTTCTGCTGAAAACAAGGTA